TGTGGTTAATTTCAGTGATATATCACAAAGCAGAACATAATTAGCAAGTTAGAAAACACATTTGGAAGCAAAAGAAAATATTGTGAAGAGGGCTAACTTGAGCTGCTCAAGGCTAGGCATCAATAATGGTATTTGTTGTTTTTTTCATATTTAAGTCTTTCATGTTAAAAGACCACAAAATCCTAAGAAATCAAAAGGGATTCTACCATTATAGGAGGCTTGTTAAAAAGTCTATTTTTACATTTCTACTTTCAAATGTACTTAAAAAAAAAACTTTCCACATTTTCTTCTCTCTTCCACATATTCATCTTTTTCATTCACCTCATTCAATCAATAGCAGGAGATTAGAGAATACAATTAGCTCAAAGAAAACTGTGGTGGACAGAATGCTCACAAAAAGCATCTCTAAAAATCACAAAATCATTACCAAAAGGCTACAGCCAAGATCCTTTATGCTGCCATAGGCTGTATCCTCCTCCTCCTCCTCCTCCTCCTCCTCCTCCCAATGATATCCATGATGAAATCAGTTTTCCATCTTTTGTAATTGCTGTGCAACCCATGTAAAAGTGCACTATACCAGTGCTTCTCAGACTCAAGACTTCAGCTCTGAGAATCCCTGACCCAGTATTTTGTATGCTTTATTTTGTTGTTCTTATGCTAGTCTGTGATCGTAATACCTATCTAACTATCTATCTATCCATCCCTGACCCAGTATTTATCTATCTACCCATCCCTGACCCAACAGTTGGCTTGGGCCTCTGGAAGCTGAAGTCTAAAACACCAAAAAGGATATGGAGGGCCACAATTTGGGAACCATTCAATGAAGCTAATACAAAAGACTGCCGTTGTTTACCATTCCAGTCTGTAGCTCCTATTGATTGATTATGAAAGTCTCTTAACTATTTTGTCACCATATAACATACTAAAGAACTTATAATACCTCTGCTTTCAACACCATTGGAAGCTAGACAGTTCTTCAATTCAATGAAGTGTTGAGGAAGACCTTGTCCCACATTTCCCTTTGTCTTACTGGCCATACACTTCAGGTTTGATCCAGACAAATTCAGCTGAATTTACTTCTCACTGTTCATTCCATTGAATTCAATGGTATTTAATTTAGGAGAAAGCTAACTTGTACAACACTGTATTTATTTCACTGAACTTTTAAAGGCACTAGACCGACTACTAGTATGCCAGCACTGAGTAGCAGTTTTAGCATTGGACTGTGACTTTGGAGACTCAGGGGGGAAGCAGACGGGTGGCCATGGGCCGCCCCAGGAAGCTGCGCTGTGGGACCGAGGCATCCCCACATCTCAGTCCCATGGCGCAGCTTTGCTGCCCCTGAAAGGAGCACTAAATTGGCGCTTCTTTCACAAGTCGATGAAGGTGCGCCTCAAAAGGCTGTGGCGCACTTTCGCCGACTCTTCCGACGCAGCACGTACAATTGCTGCGGTGGGAGGTCCTCCTCGGAGCGCCGGCCATGTGGAGGGCTGGCTGCTCCAAGGACAACCTGGGGAAGGGGTTGGGGCACCGATTGTGTGGCTGCCCCTCCCCTTCCCTGCCCCCAAGACAGCCCTTTAAGCCATCTGCTTAGGGCCTCAGTCCCTGGGCGGCCTTGGACAAGTCACACATTCTCAAGCTCAGGAAAATCCATGAAAGATTCACTTTAGGGTCGCCATAAATCAGAAAAGACTTGAAGGCACACAAGAAGTCCACCAGCCCCCAAGCCAAGTTATAGATTTCTTTATTGTAAATCCTCATTTTTATCCAAACAGAGCATTTCACATACTATGGAGCAGGGACTTCCAATGGTCCTCAGAACCCCTGCCAATCCAATATCTATTACAGAGGGAAGGAATGAAAGAAATTGGGAGACTGAGGGTATAGGTACAAATCAAGGATGAAAGAAGGATGAAAAAAGAAATGAAGGAGAGTAATAAGAGTATTTTGAGATGCAATAGAAAAAAGAAAAAAAAGGTCCCCTCTGCTTTAGAGCCCCTGGATCAGCAACCTGTGTATAAAATGTGGAAGCTGCCACCATAGTTCTTCTCAGGGATATCTTCACTTAGCTCATCCATGGGAGAATAATTTTTTTAAAAAAATGCTTTCTCTCCATTGGACAAGTTTATGAGAGGTTTGCTTATTTATTTATTTATTTATTTCAAAAGATTTAGTTGCAAAAATTTCACAAAAGTTTTTGTGCAAAAAGAGTGTGCAAAATATTTTCTAGACAAAATATATTGCTCGCATAAAAATGGAATGTGGCGAAGCAAAGACTGCCAACCAAAAAGTGCTAGTATTTTCACTCTAGTGCAGAGGCAAATAATAATAATAATAATAATAATAATAATAATAATGAAAAAAACCTGGTGTTTGTAATTGAGTGATGTGAATACATCCTTTTGCTTTAATAATGTATCAGAATGGATAGAGACTCAGGCTGCTGCCACACCACAGAGTTAATGCAGTTTGACACTGCTTTAACTGCCATGGCTCAATGCTATGGAACTTTGAAATTTGTAGTTTTGTGAGATATTTAGCCTTCTCTGTCAGAGAACTCCAGTGCCATAACAAACTGCAAGGGAGCCCTGTTGGCACAGTGGTTAAGTGCCTGTACTACAGCCATTCACAGAACTCAAGGTTGTGAGTTCGATCCCAGGGCTCCAGGGTCGACTCTGCCTGGCATCCTTCTGAGGTTGCTAAAATGAGTACCCAGCTTCTTGGGGACAATTGGCTTACACTCTGTAAACTGCTTAGGAAATGCTAGTTCACTAATAAGTGGTATAGAAATGTACTTGCTATTGCTATTGCTATTGCTATACAAATCCCAAGACTCCATAGTATTGAGCCATGACAGTTAAAGCAGTGTCAAACTGCATTAATTCTGCAGTGTGGCACCAGCCCAAATCTCTATTCAATCTGATATACTTTTAAAGCAAATGGGATGTATTCTGAAACACCATCTTATTGAGTAGATGATGACTGAGATTCTGCATCGTCCCCATAACTACAATGATGATGGTCTATCATCACAGTTATGAGTGACAATGCCTCCCCCTCCCAACAAAATGTGCAGCCTGGCAGTGCCCCAAGCAAAGTGTTTCTGAGACACTAGAGATGCCCACAGTGCTCTCCAAGTCATGGAGTGCCTTGAGAACAGGCACCTGGAGGGACTCCTTGAAGTCCTGCCACAACTGTGCTGTAAGGCACCCCATAACTAGGACCAAGCTACATCAATCTGCAGTGCTTCAGGAACACTTCATCTGGGGGATTTCAAAACAAAATGAAATATGGCCTGACATTCACTTCTGGTTTTTGAAAATAATGTTGTTGTTTTTGTTAGACACTGGAAAGGAGCTCTGTAAGCTATTTAAAAGGCGAAATGAACCACCACCACCCCAATACTTCTAGAAGAGGCTATTCTTTTTTGCCAGAAAAGTGATGATACAGAGCACTTGGAGGGATCTGACAATCTCATGACCCCTGGGACCATAAAATAGATTCGGATTAAAACTCCTTTATCAGGCCTGGGGTTTTTTGGCTGGGGGAAAATGGTTGTATATGCCATGCATAATTGGAGCAGTTGTTCATTGTGCCTCTTTTCAGCTGAAAAGCAGCTCCTGTACTACATCCTGAACTACTCAGAGTGTTTTGCTTTAGACGTGGAACTCTGATGTTGTTAGGTTAGGCTGCTGGCAGGTGCCATGTTATCTTTACCATCTGTGAGCTCCTGTGCACATCTACATGCACATATATCAGCAGCAAAGCTTAGCCAGTGATATGGCTGCTTCTGTCCATCAACAGAAATAAAGAAATGTTTTTTATTTACTTTGGTTCTCCCTCTGTGTCAATTGTCGCAGTCATACTCAGTGTGAAGTACTGTTGAACAGGAAAATCCAATGATGGTGTTTTAATGTGTTCTTTTTGTTTGTTTTTCTAATTCTATTTTAATGTTACTTTTTGTATGTTTTTGATTGCATTATTCTTTTACATTATGAGCCATGTTAAGTCCTAATTCTTTTTTTTTTGGGGGGGGGGGGGGAAGCAGGATACTACTACTACTACTGCTAGTACTTTTTTTTCTCCTCTTCCTGTTGTTGTTTCAGCTTAGTAAAGACAAACTATCCTATCAAACCAGATACTTTCACATTATATTACTTATTTTATTTATGATGCAGAACCTATTGCAGAATAAAAATTCCTGTGATCCTTATTTTTACTTATACTAATGTATGTCAAACATAACTTTTTAATTTTCTACTGTTGTAATGTCAAATTTCAAACTCTCTGTACAAACTGAAATATTAGGCCCAGTATAGCATGCTAATTAATTACAATTAGGCAAATCTGTGAAGAATATTGATATGCACACTGCATTTCTAGGATAAAATATCAATTTCCTTGATGCATAGCAAGGTTTGTTTTTGTTTTGTTTTTAGTTTTTTTTAAAAAAATGCTTCCTATATCACATCACCCTCTGATGCCAATAATTTCTTCACTATCAGCAATAAATAAGGGACACAATAGCATTTAATTCTGTTCCTCTTAGTGCAAGAAGATACTAACAAGTAAGGAGACTTGACTAAAAACAAAGCAAATAACTTAGAAGTTCACACTATTAAATTAGAACAGTTGAGAACAGTAGTATTTATAATAAGACTGAAATTAGACTATTCATTTTGGTCACTGCATTATGGAAGATCTGAAATTAACACTTATTGATTATTAACATTATTAACATTAACTTCATGATAATGTACACAAACCTAGGCAAATGATTTGGGGTTTTTTGTTTGTTTGTTTGTTTGTCAAGAGAATTGTTACAGTTCACATTCAAGTGTGGAAGATAAATATATCCTGGTTTGTTAAAACAATCATGTGATGGTGGCTGTTCTGTGTCTCTCAATACCAAAACAATCCATCTAGCATACAAAACTCCATTGATTTGAGCCCAAAACACCAACCACATGCTCAGAGTATGGTAGCATCTTAAGAGTAAATGCACTGTGGCATAATGGTTTGAGTGTTAGACTATGACTCTGGAGACCAGGGTTCAAATCCCTGCTCAACCATGAAATCCATTGGGTGACCCTGGCCAAGCCACATTAACTTAGCCTTAGAGGAAGGCAATAATAGCAAACCTCCTCTGAACAAATCTTGCCGAGAAGACCCTATGATAGGTTCACCTTAGGATCATCATAAGTCAAAAACAACTTGAAGGCACACAACAAAACAAAGAGCAAATGCAGGCAGTGCAACCTCAAGCCACCATGGGATGGTTACCACTATTCTCCTCCTGAGGCTGAAGAAACCCCTCACAAATGATGGGACTTTTTTTCCTCATTTCTTATTTCCTTGAGGAAATTTTCACAAATGAACCTTATTTATTATACATTGATGTATGCCTATCCAGTCTGAGCAGTATTTGCTTGCCTGTAATGTAATAATCATGGGATACCACCTTGATGAGAGACACAAAGACCACCATTTTAAAGAGTTTTAAGATTTTGTATGGGTATCTTGGCCAAATGACATTTATTTATGTATTTATTTAAATATTCATACCCCACTCTATATCATGGAATCTCAGGGCAGCAAATAAATTCAACTTAAACAATTCAACATATTTGAACAATAGAGGATAATTTAAACTGACTGAAAGCATATTAAACAATTTAACAAGTTATAACAAATTAAAACAAGCACATATTCAGATTTGGATGACAACTATTAGGTCTTAAAAGCTTTCATTTTAAAAAGCCAAGTTTTAACATGGGGCCAGAATGAGGCCAGCATCTGGGCCAATTGGCCCTCCAAAGCAGTGCATTTGTATGTTTGTTTCTATAACCAAGGTGCCATAGCAGAGGGGACCCTCTTCTGCCTGTGAAGTGTTTCACAGAAGGGTTGCCAGGTGAATTAAGGGGCAGTGTTGCAGTCCCTTCAATGGTTATATGCAAAAGGGAATTCTAGCTGGTGTTGTTATAATTCTTATTTCACCTTGCAACCCTATTCCACAGTTTATTACTCCCTCCAGTGGGACACTCCTGGCCCTCATCCAGTCCATTACAGCATTCAGGCTCTTGTCCTGTATCTGACCCAGCTGAATCTGACAACAAGGAAAAGTAGGAGTTTATCACACGAGGGGGATAAGGGAGTTTAAACCAAGATCAACTTATGAAAATTGCACAATTGACATTAAAACATGCTTAAAATGACATTAACGCAAGTGCCATTATCCCATGAAAAACCAGGGAATAACCAGGCAAGAAACAGCAAAAGGTCATTCACGGGAAAATTCCATGAATGAGTTACTGTTGTTCCTTGCTGGGTTCTTCACAAGATATTGGCACTTTAATCATGTTCTGTCTCAACATCATGTGAAAACCATTTGCACAATTGCGCGCAAGTGTGGATTAATAATGAGTTATTCACAGGATAATAGTGCTTTGCATGTGACATCATGTGAAAACCATTCACTCAACTGTGGGTTAATCACAGATTAATCACCATTTATACTTCCAATTTTCCCACCTGTCATAAACGCCATAGATTCCAAAGCTCCTAATGACCTCACCCAGCAGCTTCACATAAGACACTAAAGAGCATGGGGGATGAGTAATTTTACACTGCATAGTAATAGTAAAAGATGTAGTTGCTAGTTGGAGCTAGAGTAAACCCATTGAGTCAAGTGCTGAATGGTGAGTCAACACTTATGTAAACTCCATTGATTCCATGGTTCAGGCCATCATGTTTCATAAAATAAGTGCCACTGTGCATTTGGGGACACAAAAAAAAATATGTTTTTTTTTTCTTTTTAGAAGGTACAGTCACAGTCCTCCAAGATCTCTCTTAGCCTTCCACACTTGCCCATCCCTGCTTTAACCCAAACAGAAAGCCAGACAATTTAACTGAAACTTAAATAATAGGGAACTAAATGAAGAATTGAAATTCTTCATGATGTTGTTGCAAAAGAAAATGCTCAGACTGCTGCCACATTGCAGAATTAATGCAGTTTGACACCAATTTGACTGTCAGGACTCCGTCCTATGGAGCCTTGGGATTTATAGTTTGTTGCGGCTCCAGAGCTCTCTGACAGAGAAGGCTAAATATCTCATAAAACTACAAATCCCTGAATTCCATAGTACTGAGCCATGGCAATCAAAGTGGTGCCAAAATACATTGATTCAACCAGTATAGGTGAAGCCTATGTCTTGTGTCTCAGCTGTCTGAAAATGGTGAGAAGCATAAAAACCACTGATATGGTGCTGATGTTCAGTGGTGGACCAGGCCAGACGTTAGTGGAAGAGGAGCTCCTTCAAATGCTCTCCTCCATCCTTTAACTATGGACGTTTTCACATGGGGGCCCCTAAAGCCGGGTGGAGCCATTCCGGAACGGCTCCTGCCGCTGATTCCGGAATGGCTCCATCGGCGGCAGGCTAATTCCTTTTGCCACCCGGAATTACCTGAAGCTGGAGTTAGCCGGAGTTAGCCTTTTGCCACCCGGAGTGACGGCAGACTTAGGGCTCCGTGCGTTTGAACACACGGAGCGAAAAGCCGGACAGACGCAGGGATGGCACCGGAAGGGGCGGGGTTTGCCGCCGCGCGCGTGTGAACTACGTGGAAATGGAGCCGGAGTGAAGCCAGACGGAGGTAGGATTGCCTCCTCAAAAAGCCCCGTGTGAAAACGTCCTATGATGTATCTCAAAATGGCTGAAACTCTTTTTTTCTGTCTTTCCCCATATTTTACCAGAGGTTCTGTAAATCTTCAACATACACACATATAAAACACTTGGGTTTTGAGTATTGGTATGGCTGTCATATTTCTGTCTTCCCTTTTGGAAGCTCACCTTCCCTTTTAATACACCTCTCCTCAGCCCCATTAGATAGCACATTCCATGACACATTAACCTAGGACAACAGAAACATCAAGCAATTGGCCACAGAGCAGTCCTGGCAAAATGTTCAGCACCTCAAAAAATTCTAGTGGCAAGCTATTATCTTAAACTATATGTGGAAGCCCTTTGTAGTGTCTACAATGATATGGCCATGTGTGCTTTTCATTTTGACTTTTAAAGTTGAACTAAAGCCAGACTCTGCAAAGGGCAGAACTTTTCTCATTACGCTTTTGTTTCAGTATTTGTTCCTCTACTTCCAAGTCATGGGTGGGAAAAGAACACAAGCTCACAACTAGTTTTTTTCTATGTTTGTTTGTTGAATTGTATATCCTATATTCCACCCACCCACCCCTGGGACTCCAGGTGCTATGCAAAAAAATCAAAGGAACATGGTCCTGATAAAAGGCCGGAGTTGTGGGTTCTTCCAAAATAACTTCTATGGAGAACTGTGAACATGGAAGTGCATTAAAGGAAGTATGTATGCCCCTGTTTGTTTCCTTATGACCCCAAAGTTTCATTAAAAGAGAGACAGTATTCAGATGGACAGACAGATAGGGAAAAAATGTTTGCTTGTGTGGCTTACACAAGGAAGATTGAATGATGGGCTATTTTATAATTAGTAATTATTCCTCCTCACTCCAAAATATTTTTCATATATCTTAAATAAGGAGAGTTGGATCCAATATGAAGGGAACTGGAAAATTCTCACAAGAGTACAGATGAGATCTTTAAAATGCTGCAAGGATGGGTGGGAGGAAGCATTTATAGGCTGAATGAAGTATCTTTGCTTGTTCAACAATACGTTTACATTCATCAGTATGAAATGCAGCAATTCCTGCTGGGCATATTACCCTTCCCAATTCTTCTGGGGGAATTTCCTGCCATTCCTTAAAAGATCATAGGTTTGTCTGTGTTGCTTCTGTAATTATATTCAGTTGTGAAACCCAATGACTGAAGGAATTCAGGGGGGTTGCATACTGCCAGAAATAGTGCAAATTGAGTCCACTTTTAGGGTTAGGGTTAGTGCTAGGGAATCATGGGAACTGTATTTTATTGTGGCACCAGAGCTCTCTGACAGAGAAGGCTCAATGTCTCAGAAAAAAACAATTCCCATGATTCCCTAGCACTAACCCTAACCCTAAAAGTGGACTCAATTTGCACTATTTCTGGCAGTCATACAAATGTAACCAACACAAAGGTGTGATGAAAACCAGACCAAAGGTTTAAAGCAGGGGTAGGCAACCTTTCCCCTTTAAGGGCCGAAGGAC